AGGAATTCTGAGGCTTCTCTGGGTTTGATCCCTGCATCAGCCACTCTACAGTTGGGCTCAACACATCCTGGTGGGTGAGAAGGGACAGGGACAGGCGTGCTCAGGGTGGGTAAATGATGTGGCTTATTGAGCTAATAAAAATCTGACTTAGGTCATTCAGGTGTCCAAAGGGGTGCTTTGGACAGTGCCAGCAAGAGCCTGTTTACTCCACGGGCTGTATTACACAGGATGCTCTGGGCTGTGGACAGTGAGCTAACATATATTCCGAACTTCACAGCCGTACGGAAGTTAACATGAGGAGTGACGTGCTCTCTGGAGTGACGTGCTCTTTTGGCAGTGTTGCCTCCTGTGGGGTATCACTCACATCTTTGCTTGATAGGAAGCAGAGGCAAAACCGTCTCCATCGGTGGGTTACTTCATGGATCAGTTCTGTCTCCTAGATATACTGGGCCATGAAGGTGCACCACTGACCTCATAGAAGAACCCCAAGTCAGATCACAAGTAAGGCTCCGTCAGGGCCCTGCGGGGAAAGGCTGCTGGGTGTGCACCCTCGGGGTCTCCTCCTCGGAGCCCCTCCTCACTCACACTGCAGTCACAGTGGCCAGCCCCAGACAGTGCCCAACCTGCTCTCTCCAAGCCCCCAGACCTTAGAGAGTTTATAAATAACTCAGTGGGTCTGTTCTCTTGGAAGGCATCTGGGCTGAATAAAAGTCACCGCTGAGATAGAGCATAAAGGTCATGCATTTATTTTCAGGTGACATGAAAAGGATACTGGGAAACAAGTGTTTCAAAGAATCTGCCCCCCAGGGGGACAGCAAGGGGAAGTTCGACAGGAGGGGTCCTCAGGAAGGCTTCTGTGCTGGTATCCTCTGGTCTCCACTCCTGTGACCTGCCCCCTGGATCACTTACCTTCAGATAGGGAGACCATTTGAAAACATACCTTAGGGGAAACAGCAAAGTTTGTCACACACCTGATTCTTTTCTCATCTAGGTTTCATTTGTGGGCAGGAAAACTTGTACAGAGTGACCTATGCCCTGTGACCTGGACCAACAGGGACCTTTTCTTAACTCTTACTAACCCAAACTTAGTACTTACAAACTTGCTCATACAAGTTTGGTGTTGGGTGTTCAAAAGACAAGCCCGGGTTGTGTCCAATATACAGCAAAGACCAGGCACCAAAACAGTACTGTTTGGAGGAGGGAAAGTTCTGTCACAGGACACATGGTGACAGCAGAGTGGGTGGGGTCGGGTGCTGGCAGGGCTAATAGGTGCTGAGTGCACCTGCCCCTCTCCCACCTCTGATCCCCTGGCATCTCAGAAGCCTCATGTGCCAACAATTGGCATTGCTGTGGACGGTACTCCCAGAATGGGGGCTGCTGAGAAGGAAGGAGTGAGGCAGCCATACTGAATGGGAAAAAGGGTCAGAAGCCACATAGTAGAAGCCTCTCCTCATCTTTCTCTTTTCTGACTTTAGCTCTATGGCAGGCAACACCATCCAGCTTGCTTGAGAGATTATGGCAGCCGCCATCTTGACCTGTGGTGGATTCAACTTGGGAGTTACATTTTGAACTTTGGGTCTCTCCCCTCCCAGCCATGTGGACCCTTGATTATATTTCCTGTCAGGAAGTTCCCTAGATTTGTTCTTTGGCAGCTCTGCTCTTGAAACTTAGCAGCTCCACTGTGGATACTGCCTTGTTTGAATGAACTAACCAGGGGATGGTTGGTTTCAGGATCAGGACAAAGGAAGGAAACCCACTCCCCTACTCCTTGCCCTCTCTATTCCTTTTGAATGCTCACTGATTAAACATCTTCAAGCACAGTAGAAACCAATGACTTCATGCACACAGGTGGGCACAGACCCCCGCAAGGGGCAGCATGAGTTTTTCCCCTCTAGTAGTTTAGGGTCCCTGGCATCTTCTTGGTTTTTCCTAGTATCAGTTTATTGCAAGTGGCAAGCAAGGAGGAAGGAGGGAATAAATTCCTTGTCTGCCTCTCCCTCTACTGGAGGAAGGGATTTATATTGTTTGGGGGGCATCGGGGTAGCCTGGAAAAAATACTAAAAAAATGCAGCTTGGCAGAGCCTGAAAGGTTGATCCCTGCTGAATCATGGTACAACTCAAAGTTGGGTCCAGAACTGCGAGGAAACTAAGCACCGCTTGTTTCTGAATCTTGCGAGGAAACTAAGCACCGCTTGTTTCTGAATCTTGACTGTGTAACCATGAGGAAGACACCTTAGTTCTCTCTTCCATGGCTACTTTGGGGTCTCAGCAATGAGAGGTCACCTAAAGGACAGCAACACTCTTCTGAGTCTTGTGCTCTGTGACACAGCTTGTCAACTTATGAGAGTCTGTTTTTTCCTCATTTAAAATGTGTAATCGTGGTTTTTGTCCCACTGTTTGAAAGTCTGCTTTGCTATCCTTTCAAGATAAGCAGAAATAGAGAAAGTCTGCCACAACCACCACGGACTCAACACCTGCCCACACAGTGTAAGGTGTAAGGTGAGGGTGGACATGTTGTTTTATTCCTGATATCCTCTTTTCAAATGGAAGGTCGTGTGCTAGGAGTATCTTCAGACAAAGTAAAGCTAAGCTCGAGGAGGCCATAATTTAGCCTCTGTGGGGTGAGACAGCAGTCAGGGCCCCATGAGTCTTTGTATTAGGGGGGGTTGCGGCGGGGGGGGGGGAGAGGGATGGGCAGGGGAACAGCTGTCATTACTTACAAGATGCACATTTTTGGGGTTGAGAGCAGTGAAGGCCCTGAAGTTTTGTCCTTGCTTATGTCCTTTACACATCTTTAGTTGAAGAAGAAATTGTCACAACTTTAAGCTTCCTGCCCATTTCCTAATTGTGAAAGCAATCTCTGTTTCCTTTTTATGATAGAGAAGAATCATAAATTTTCATGCAATTCTAGGCTTCTCCAGAAACACCTAAGAATCTTCTCCTTACTTTCAGAATAAGGATGAGGTCATCCTCTCCTTGTCAGTCATGTGAAATCTCTCCTTCTCCCCCTCTCCATTCTTGATACCCCAGGCCCAAAGGTACAGGATGAATATGCTTAATCTGTTTCATTATTTGTCATAATTTACAACTATGTAAATTCTCAGCATTATGTTATTAAATTGATTATTTTTTCCTGTCTGATGCTGTTTTGAATACTTATCCAACTCAAGAACTCAGGGGGGTATGGGATTCTTTTGTGCCCCAACACCTCCCACCTATCCACTTATAACTTTCCCTTCCCTTCCTGCACCTCCTGCTTACTAGGGAGAGTCTGTTTCTGGGGGAGTATGTGATCCCCTGAAAACTTTGCCTACAGTCTGTATTTATGCTTCTTAGGTGACCCCCTGGCCATTCCAAACCAGCAGGAATACTTCACTTAAACAAGTCCAAACTGAGTACTTTCCTCCAAAAAATATTTAAGAACAAGACAATTAAAGAGGATACAATAACATAAATATGCCAAAGATTTGGATGTTCTGTACAGAGAGGTGTTAGCTGACGACAGGTCAATTAGAGGCCACCACTGAGTGCCCAAGGAGTGCTTATCTCGTTAATGGAGATGCTCACTGAGTTGCTTTCTGAAGTTCCTTTCAAGAAATGAAATTAAAATCACGCAATTAAAATGTTCACAGTTGGGGCTGGATGTTCTTGAGCTGATTGAAAGATGAAGAAGTGGACAAGCCACCATTTTGAAACAGCAATTGTCTCTGTAATTAAGTGTAATTAACTGACACAACTGTCTGCTTTTCCCCCATATAAGACTGATTGAAATTCTAAGACTTTATAAAACATCCCCCCCCTGGCTTTTTGTTCTATCCTAACCAAAATTCTCACTGACATTTGAAGACTGCCAAAGGCAGTGATTTAGCACACCAATTCTAACACCAGTCTTATAAGGTAAACGGATCAAGAAAATTGGAGAGAAATATGTTGGAGAATAAGGAGCTCGGGGCTGTAGATGCTCATCACTTCTCCTAAGCCCACAACTCTTGCATTTCCACAGTAGAGAATAAATCGAGCAATTTTTCTGTGATTTCTACAGAAGGAGCTGTTAAGTGATAACCAAAAACGCAGATTCCAAAGGTGAAAATAAAAGTAAAGTTCATTAAGTTTTTTAAAAAACCTATTTTTTCATTATTATAACAAATCTGGAAAATGCTGGAAGAATAAAAAGAAAGTTTCTCATAAACTCACCACAAAGATTTAACCATTATCTTTCTTCTTATTTATTAAGCATTATCTTTCTTCTTATTTATTACATATACCTATTTTAATTAATATTGAATATATTTTAATATATATTTTATGTACCCTGATTTTTTTGCTAATATTACAAATATTTTTCTTACTATTAAAGAATTCATAAACATTTTTGAAATGTCCAAATTAAATGTCATCAGATAACCCAACCACCATTTACTTGGTTACCCGCTTATTATTGAACATGTAAATTATTCACAGTAGTTTATTACTCTAATACTACAGAAAGGAATATTTTGTTGCAAATAATGGCCTTTTTTTCTGAAATTTTCCTTAAGAAAAAAATTTTAAGTGCAATTTCATCAACAAAAGATCTTTTTATTCTAATTTTTTGAGGCTTTTGGAGTTTGTGCTACTTCTAGTAAATTGTGCCACAGAAAGGTGGTCAATTTATATTTTCATCAATAAGGTACGAAGTTACCTATTCCCCACACATTCTCCAGCTTTGAGTATCATCTGTAGAAGAAAAGCTCAAAAACTCTTAGCAAAATCTCATATGACAGGTTATATAGACCTGGGGCAAATTGCCACCCAATCTAGAATTGCTCTGATGTCCAGCTCTGCTTCCCAGCAAAGCTGAGGTCACATTGGGGCACCACAAAATGCCCACTGTGGGGAGAAGTTATAGCCTTGAGCGACAGGAGAGCTGACAAGCTGCTGTCATCTGTGAGGACATCTGCATGTCGGGTTAATCTAGAGTCTGACCCCTTATCACTCATCTCTTTCTCCCTCGTTTCTAGCTGTCCTGACTGAAGATGGACACCAGGTAATCCTAGAGAAGGTAGAAGACTGGAATGTGGTAGAACTCATGGTGAATGAAGAAGCCGTCTTCCGGTGCAACATCAAAGACTTGGAGTTTGGTAAGCCCTGCAGCATCTTTCCAAGTAGCGTTCTCCCTCTCCCCAGAGCCCTTCAGTTTCTACTAGAAGTAGTCAGTGTCACATGCCCTGTTTCAGTTTGAGGTGAGTTTCTGTCTTTTTTTTTTAAGGTTTATTTATTTATGCATACAGAACTGGGGTACAGGCCAGAGGTGCAGGGGTGGTGAGAGGATTCAGCAGAGGCAGAGTGGGGAGCAGAACAGGCAGACTGATGAAGGATATACTGCTGAGGGGAGCAGTGTGCAAGACAGGAGGGGTCCGCATCAGGGTGGGGATCGAACTGGCACTGAGCTGCGCTCCAACCCACTGCGCGACCAGGGAGGACCCTGAGTTTCTTTCTGACTCAAATTCTTACTCAAAGCCCTATGTTCTATCACATAGATGAAATCTTGAAGATGAAATCTTCTACGCCACACACAGGAAAGGGCTTGGTGCTCTGAGTTTCCTCCTGAACACTGGAAACAGAAGAGGGCCAGAAAGAAAATGTAATGTTAGCTCGAGACAGCAAAACAGTATGAAAATAATTCCAGGATAATAGATTGTTTTGTTTAGGGGTCGGTGAGGACTCTTGCATTGAAAAATGTAGTGTTTTATTATTTGCCTTCAAAACAATTTCTAGTATTCAAAAGCTGCATATAAAAAAAGCCAGTTTCAACAATGTTTGAAGGATTTCTTTGCCCTGATGAGCTCCTGGCCTGGCAGGCTGATATCATGAGGTCACATTCCACCCATACCCTATTAACCGTTAGTTAACAGCTTACGTGCTGTGACCTTCGGAAAATGCTCTCCTAGTGAGGCTGGCTATATATCTCCTGTGATATCAAACTGTTTATAAAGCTCGCCAAACTAAAATCTTTTCTACTTCCCTAGGAGGCGATGGTAAACTAGACCCGCTGTGCAAAAAGGCCAGGCAAGCCGTGCTAAACGCCTACTGAGCTCCTCAGAACATGGGTCGCAAGTCAAGGGAGCAGCAGCTGCCCCTGGCCATTCTGGGATGCAAACAACAGTGTCATCCCGGCCATGCACACAAGACTCCACCCACCGGACAAGGCAAGGCTGACCTGTCCTTCAGCCTACAGGGCACAGGGTTTCTCATCTGGCTGCAAAGCGAAGGTGCCCACAAAAATAATAAAACCACTTCATTTGCAGCATTTCCCCATCTCAACCCATAGGGAGAACCCTTCAATATCAGGTACATATTGAGCTGAAGGGAATAATAAAATGCAATCCAATAACAAAGCACCATTCCTTACTAATAATGCATAGTTGCCAGAAGCATCTGAGATTCCATTCTATAGTAAGTGAAGCGCTAAGAACAGGCCAAATTAAAGATTGGGAGGGAAGGGCTGGAGAGTGGAGGAAGAGAAGTGAAAATCTAAAACAAAAGTTAATGTCAGTATTCTGAAAACTGACTATCCCTACAGATGTATCTCTTGCTCCCAGTGGAAAAAATACATGCTAACATATAATTACCTAAAGTCACAGCTTCAATTTATTCTTTCAAAACAAGAAAACAATCTGCGTTCTTTGGCTTTAGTGATCTAACAGACCGTTGGGAGAGAGCATGTGAGAGACCCTGGTGCAAGGGAAGAGAGGCTTCCCTGCCCCTCTGAAGGAAAGCTCAGCCCACGTGCAGTCAGGAAGGCAGCTAGTGGTGGCCTGTGTAAAACGCAGCTATGTCAAAATGATCCTTTTACTAAAGTCAGGTCCTATTCACCAAACTGTGATATATATTCTTAGTCAGAGAGTGAAGCAGAGAAGTAGATACTAATCTAATGACGTTAACCATGAGGTCATGGCAGGAACACATCACTCCTTTCAGAAGAAAGATGGATTCCTTCACAGAAGATTCTGGAACCCTGGGCTCGGTGCTGAAAGAGACAGGCTTTCAGATTCTCTACAGGTTACCAGCTGGCTCCAAGCACACACCCCTTCAGGGCCAGGTGCCCCGCTGCACCTGGGGAGCAACCCCTGCTACTGTTCCCAGCAGCCTCAAACCCAGAACTTCAAAGGCACCTGGGAAACAAAACCACTTGTACAAGTTCTCTCTTGCATGCATGAAATGAGGAATATAATTTTTATTTTCGGTCCAAGTTTCACTTATCAGATTTTGCCAGAGATTATGGATCACTTTAAAACTCTGGAAATATTTAATCATCCACACTGAGAATCTGAAGCTAAAAAATGTTCTCCTTCCTGGAGAAAATTCTGGTGTCTATTGTTGCTTTCTTAAGATCAGTGGCCCTACAGTTAGTCCCTTCTCTCAAAGGCTGCTTTCAGTGATAGATGTGGCAATATATTTTTTTTTCATACAGGCATTTTACTACAAAATAAATGCATTTTTATTACAATAAAGTAGAATAATACACGTAAAGGTAAAATATAAACTTGATAACACCCTGGTCTAGTTCTGTTTGGGTTACTACTATTGATGTCTGGATATGCATGAGGAGCTAGGCACAGCAAAGTTGACTTCACCAACTAGAAGTCACATTGTATGCCCAGTTTCATCCTTTTTAACCTAACACTTTTCTTTGAGTATCTCCCCTTTTGACTTACACTTTACTGTCCGAGTACATTTCTCTTGAGTCAAGGCATTTTTTTTCTTCCTTAAATAGTGATTCCTACTTTCATTGCCAAGACTTTTTCCGCTGAGAAATGAAATTGCATGCTTTCCCATCTGCATTAGGTGAAGCAACGTCAGTTCCAAGGGCTGTGGAATCTCAGCTCTGCAACCCCTCTCAAAGTTGAACTCTCTTGTCTCCTCTGAAGCACCTTCAGCCTGTATCCATGTGCTCAGAGCAGCACCCCCAACACCTGAGCCCTCTCTGCTACTTTCCATGACCGGAGTGGAAGGGCAAGTAAAGTGAGATTTCACATGAGTCTAAGAAAAGTTGAAATGCATAGTTTCTGGGAAGGAACTGCACCCACGGTACTGTGTTCCAGTTTAGATCAGAGTTAAATGAGTCATGAGCAGTCTGCTAGAAAAACATCCCAGGATCACCTCTGGGTAGCTGGTGAGATGGATGAGGGAGAAGCTCTGCAAGACTGTGGTTGAGTATATGTGTTTGGGGAAGAGGAGTGCTTTTCAAATAATGCCAAAGATAAAACCAAGGATTTGACGTAGAGCCATCTATCGGCTGACCTAGTCCTCCTTCTCTGTCAGTGATTAAGGAGCACCTTCTCTTTGGAAACACAGTACTTTTCAATCTAAAGAGATGTGCCTTGATCTTTCTTCTCTGTCTTAAGTCTTCTGGAAGGTACGTCCCTCTGCTGAAAAACCAGAAGCGTGTCCTGCTCAGGACTGAGGGCAAAGTGCCCCCGTCTCCACCAAGTTAGGCAGTCAGGGGCCTCTTTTCTCTTAATTGAAGTAGCATTGGCTTACAAGATTGTACATGATTCAAATCGAATGTTAAGCTTCGGGAGCTATCAAGTCAATCCTACTGTTGTGGGAACATGTGGAAAAAGTGTCTTTTTAGAATAAAATTGCAAGCCTAACTCTGTTTTATTGGTTTTTAATGAAATTTGGAATCTACTTTTTTTTTTAATCTAATTTTAAATTTTTGTAAAGAATGGTGCCTCCCTGGGTCTGCTACCTGTGCACCCACTGGCTGTACCTGCTCCCACAGGAGGTTCACCCTAAGAACCTAGACAAACTACTTGGGAAAGGTTACAGGTAGAACTAGATTAAGAAAGTGGTCCCAAAGCAAGCTGCTGGGACATTTGAGCAGTGACAAGAAGGAGAGGTTCTCGAAGCCTCCTTGGGAAAACACATTTCCCGACAAAATATTACTAGGATCCGATGCTTCGGCATTTGTCCCCAGATCATGGGCTTTGTGGTGAGAACTGTTTGTGCATGGTGCTGGTGCCAGGCTCCCAGGAGAAACTCACTGTTGGCCAAACCCAGATGAAAGATAAAAACAAAACATTAAAATACTAGCCCCAGTGACTGTCATGGAGACATTTCCTTCCCAAATTGCTTAAACATTTCATGGGAAAGAATATGATTCTTGTTATTTGATTAGTGCTGTAATCGGATGCTCCATCCCCGGTTGTGTGTGAGCTGCCCTTGGCTCAGGAGGGGAGACCTGAATGCTCCTTCCTGTGGAGCTCCAGAGGTCACCGCCCCCGTGCCCCCCACCCCACCCCCCAGTTCCCAAGGCCACAGAGTCAGGGCAAGCTCAGTGGCACTAAGCTGGTAAAAGGAAAAGCAGGCAAATTGCATGAGTTCCCGTGGCCACTGCCCCCAGGCGGGGAGGGAGACCAGGTACATGGGGCAGGATGGCTGAGGCGTGGGGAGCAACTCAACTCCTGTGACTCAACTCCTGTGACCTGCAGCAGGTAGGAGGATCTTCTAATTGTTCTAAAAGGACCAGAAATCTGGACTTCTGTTGAAATGTTTGGTTTTACATGTGAGCTAAATTGTCCTCTAAAAAAGCTCATTAGCAGTATGATCATCTCTTCCTGTTTGCCTGTGGCCACTTCATTTTACACCTTTGGTCTAGATGTAATTATCCCCACACCTGATGTCCCAGCCTCCCCTGAGGCCTCTAGCCTTCCTGTCTATGAAATGTGTGTTCTCTACTCTGTGTTCTAGTGAAACAACACGACCCAAACATTTGGTTATGCAAATGAAAAGCAAAGATTTTGTTTGCAAATCTTTGGGATGAATGCATTTGAGAAGATAAGCCCCTAAAAAGCTTTATTGTTCTCAGTGATCAGGTTCAAGGGGCTCAGTTATAGGCAAAGCAGCACTCCCTGGTCACGTTTCCTGCCTGGAAATGCCCCTTCTCCAGTTGAGGTGCTGGATCGCATTTTCCTGCGCAGCTACAGACTTTGAAAATATGTGTTCCTCTCTGAGACTGTTCAGGTCAAGAGCTGAGAGCCAGAAGACTACAGAAGAATGGTAAGTCCGAACCCGCTCTTCAGATCACAATAACAAATTGGGGGATGCCCAGTCCAGTGAGATGCCCTCACTAGGAAACACTTAAGGCTACTTTTGACTCTTCGAGGGAGGCACTGATTTTGCTGTTCCCTGACCAAGACCTGACCCCGTGCCCAAGCTCACAGTTAATGGGTCCCTAGTCATTCTAGGGCTCCCAGAATCTGCATTTTAGTAATCTCTTCAGCTGATTCCCATGCATTTAAGTCATTTGCACTTGGAGAAAAAAAGGCATTAGGTTATCAGGGCAAGACCATAACCCTACAGGGAGAGATGGGGGTTCCCCCCCGGAAGGAACCAGAGTTGTCCTTTAAGGCTCAGCCTCCCCAAAAGGCCAGATAGGTTTTTCTCAATATGCCCAGAGTAGGGCCTCTGTCTTGCAACCACCCCACATCCTGTAGGTTCATTGTCATTTCTTGCAGACGAAAAGATAATTTTGGAGATGCTGGTAGATTTTTATAGGTGCTCAATGCTGAATCAGGGGACAGACCAGCTTTCTCTCGGCATTTCCCTGGCTGTCTCTCTCAGTAGGATGCTGCCCTTTTATTCTCTTGTCCCTCAGCACAGGTGTCTCCGCTTACATATACACAAGCCAGGTAACCATAATTACGGGGTGGGGGGAGGTTGGGGGCTCAATAGCACAGATACCTGTCATAGAGACTAATGGAGGCGATGTCGTTATTGCCTGGAGTTGTTCGGTTCCGAGAGTGGGCACTTGGGTTCACTCTGGGAAAGTTTCACTAGAGCTCCCATTTCAGCGGCCCATGGCAAGTTTCCTAGGCGAGTTCTTCATGACACAGCGATGTTAGTTCTATCCAAAAGGCCAGGTTTATTATGAAAGGTAGAGAAGAGGAAAGGAAAGTAGGCAGGGGGGCTGCCGCCCTGTGGAGGGGCAGAAAATCAGAGCAAAGATGTGATACTGGAATTTTAGATTTTCAGGCCTAGTCTCTCAGCCAGGAATGGATCCCAGGCTGCAGTGGCCACACTGAGTCC